GCTGGTGGGTTTGAACCACCGATCTTGTGGCTAGAAGCCCAGTACTTATCCTACAGTGCCACACCAGGACTCCTGTTATAGGATTGCTGTTGTTAAGTGTTGCCGAGTTGCTTCTGACCCATAGCGTTTCCAAGGACTGGCTGGTGAGCTTGAACCACCGACCTTACGTATCAATTTGACTTTTCAGTTCAGCACATTAACCCACAGTGCCACTAGAGATTATGAATACAAAGTTCCTGGCACATAATAAATAATAATACATTATTAAAAGGTAAATGACAGACATATGGAAAATGTGACATAGAATCCTAGGACTGAAATGCATTCCTGAAAATCAAGAGCCCCGGTTTGGCTTTGGAAAGGGTCAAATGTGAACCATGGAGGTCACACGTGCAATGTTTATCAGTGACTGGAAGGTAAGTCCCAAAGCCTTCTTGCCAATAAGTGGGACCAATATCCTTATGGCAGGTCTTTTCAATGCACTATTTTAATATGAAGGGCAGGGGCAACAGTTCCAAAAGCAAGTGTCAGATGGGAGGGGGTTTATTTCACCAGAGATTTCGCAGTGATGTGTGGTTGATTGGTTTGCTGCAAAGTGATATATTTAGGCTTTTTTTTTCCCATTTCTTTCCCCTTCTTTCTCTCCTCCAAAATCCCTCCAGAGGTTTCTTTTTCATCTTTATAATGCTAATTCTTGCAAAGATTTTTGTGAAAGATTCGACAGGTTTTATATAGAACATACACATAATGAAAAATCCCTTCTCAGTTGCATAAATACACTCCCAGTCCCAGCATCTTCCTACTAACTATGACCAGATGTACTAATGGTGTGGTGCTTTCCAACAGGATTGTACTCAATCGACAGTGGTAATCCTAAAATTATGAATCAAGAACATGGAAATCCAAGTGTTGATGGGTGAATTTTTCACACTGATTCACTGGGGAGAAGAACTGCTTGCTATCTACTTAATTCACCAAAAAGAAAAGTCCCAGAAAACATTCAAGAAGGTGGGAAGAAGTTTCCTTTTAATCTATAATTCACATTTCCTCTCCTTTCAAAAAAATAAAATAAAATAAAAAAGGCTGAGTGGCACAAACGGCCTTCAGTCAGCTATCAGACTAAAGGCTGGCAGTTCAAACCCTCCCAGATACTCTCCACAGAAGAAAAGCCTGGTAAACTACTTCTGTAAAGATTGCAATCGAATAAAGCCCTATGGAGCAGTTCCATTCTATAAGACACAGGGTCCCTATGAGTCAACATCAACTCAGTGGCAAAAGATTTGGGGTTCTGTTTGGCTTTCTACTTTTAATATGGTCATAGTATTTTCATAGTTTTCTTTTAGATATTACTGTTTTAAGAAACAGCTTTTCTTTTCTCTCTCTTTCCCTTCCCTATTCCTCTAGTTAATTTGAAGCCTCATTGGGTCTTTCCTTTCCCTGTTGCCAGAATGTCACCATTCTGCATTTTCTAGCAATAACTGAGTTAATGGAAATTAACTAACACTTGACATAAAGAGGCAGTGGGCCCCTTGAAAGTATTTAACAGCAGATCATTTTGGTGAAGCCCCAATACCAATAAAGACCAGTGTCTGCTTTGCCCGTATTTGGTGTTTCACTTCCCAACGTTGCCTAAGGAAGTTGTCAATAATTCTCCCATTGTATTAACGTCATACAGAAACATGCTGTCTGGAAGGAAGCCCAGCCTGGCGAAAACAACAGAATTTATCTCCACCTTCAACCTCTGCAGAGCATGCTTCTAACTTTCCTTATTTCTCTCTAGCTGCCTGTTTTCTTGACATTTTAATGTGGATGGCTCAATTCATTTGAAGCTTTTGGAAGTAAATTTCAACATTTTGAGGGGAGTGGCATCCTAAATGGCATCCTTTTGCTTAAATCCCTAAATTTTATAGAAATAGAGCTAGAGAGAGGGATAAGGACAGAGCTAGGGAGAAAGAAAGGCCTTACATTGAAACAAATATGCTTTGATGGTTTGAGAGAGTGAAGCATTCTCCTGGATAATTTGTCTGTCTCCTCATTGCTCACACCTTGGTGGACTCAGGCTGTCCCTCGTCCTCCCTCTGCCCTCCTCCTTCCTCATCCAGCCTGGTTTGGGTCAACTATTCCTTAGGCATTTATTCACCCCAATGACTTTGGGTCTGAAAAATCATAAGCAAATCACTACAAAACCCCTTCCTGAAAAAAACAGAGTAGCAATGGTGAAGAGATTTAACATGCTTTGGTTTTATGCCATCAGGTAAGAAAAAAAAAAGAGGAACTGAGAATAAAAAGCGATTTTTTTCTAGCTTAATGGGAAAACAGATAAGTAAGTGCTATCAATAAGCAGAAAGAAGGAATGCCTTTCCACATGGTTCTAAAGCCAGCGGTCATTGAGTCCACTCTGACCCCATGTTTCCTATGCCTGATTTTTCAAAAGTAGATTGCCAGGCCTTTCTTCTTAGGCAGGAATGCTGGTGTGGTACTATAGGATAAATGCAAGGTCAGCAGTTCAAACTCACCAGCCGCTCCGTGGGAGAAAGACAAGACTTTCTGCTCCTGTACAGGGTCGCTATGGGTCGGAACCAACTTGATGGCAGTAAGTTTGGTTTTGTTATTTTGGCTCTTCTGGGTGGGCTCAAACCTCCAACATTTCAGTAAGCAGGCAAGTGCACTGAGTTTGCAAACCACCAAGCATCTCCCCAAAAGGTTCTGTTTTTTTGTCACAGTCCTGCCCTTCCATCAGTTCAAGGCCCACTGCCCCTCTCAGATACCTTTCCCACTGACATCAGGCCAGGGGAGTGCACTCTCCTCCGGTTTCCTAGGGCACCTGGCACCTCTCTCATCTGGCATCCAATATAGGGGCCTTTGTAGTGTTATTTATCTTGTTATTATGAAGGATCCTGACTCCAGCACCAAATTTATATCCCTTGCCCATCCTATAAGTGTTTATTAACGATATCATAGGGAGGTGATTCTGATTCTGCTGATGGTGAGAGCCAAGCTCAAGGGCCACTTCTCAAACGAAACCTTTCAGAACTACAACCAGCACATTCTGGAGCAAGAAAGGCCTGCAACGACTCTCAAGGCCTCACTTCTGTCTCTGAACTACTACAAGTATTACACGATTCTCGAGTTGGTTCTTGCCTCTCTATCGGATCACAAACTCTTCAAGGGAGGGAACCACATTCACATTTTCGTATACACCCCCATCCCAAAATGCAAACACACCCACAGTAGCTAGTGGCAGTGACAGAGCAGAGTGGGGAATAATAATGCCCTCTCTTCTCTTGTCACCACCCCTGATGCGGAATGAGTAGGCACTCAATAATAAAAATAACAATACTTTCCACCTGAATAATGCTGCACAATTTTCAAGAGCTTTTAAAAACATTATCTCTAATGAGATAATGTTCTTCACAAAAAAAGCCTGTGAGTTAAGTAGGCATAATTAGCTCTAAATAACAGATGGAAACTGAGGTTCAGAAAGGGTAAGTGACTTACCCAGGGGCAGAGAGCCAGCTTTGCATTTCAGGTTCCAGGTTAGCACTTTCCTGGCACATCGGCCCCTCTTTAAAGATCCCAAACCGTGGCAAGAACAACAAACACCAAGGAAGATAAGCCTTTTTATCAAATTCCACCCCAATATAGTGAGACTTCACATGTTCTGTAACAGAGAGTCGTTGAGTGCTTTCCCCATGAACTTGGTAACTACTTAAATTAGTCTGTACAATGTCTTTGAGGAAACCTGGTGTGGCAATGGCTACGTACTTGGTTCAAAGCCACCAGCTGCACCTCAGAAAGAAAAAAAAAGTGGCAGTCAGCTTGGACACTCTTTAGGGCAGTTCTACCCTATTCTATAGGCTTGTCAAGTCAGAATCTTTTTTGATGACAATGGGTTACAATGTCTTTTATAATTGAATGTCCCTTGCCCAATTCTGGTACACAGTAGCCAGTTCCATCAAGCCAGCTTTGATATGACGACCCCATGCGTGTCTGAAAAGAATTGCTCTATAGGGTTTTCAATGGCTGGTTTTCCAAAAGTAGATCACCTGGCATTTTTTTTCCCCAAGAAGACTTCAGGTAGACTCGAACCTCCAATTTTAGGCAAACAGCCAAACATGTTAACTGTTTACCACCCAGGAATTCTGTAGTATATAATAGGCACTCAGATGGTAGCTGAATGAAAAACGAATGAGAAAATAAATGAACAAGCAAGCAAATAAACTTACAAAAAAGAAGCGTGTTATAAACTTACAATACAAGTGTGTTGTAGCTGTGAATGTAACCAAGAGTGAATTTCAAATCTAAGGACTCCATAAGTTAAAGAAAAGCTGATTTCAATGTATAGAATTACAAATGTTTGAAAGAAAGCAGATCTAATGTAAGCAAAGGCCTACCAGAGTAAACAAAGAGTTTTATTAGCTTTTATTATTGGCTCCAAAAGGCCAAAACCAAGGATCTTACTGGGGAGAAGCGGGAGGGGAGATCAATAAAAGTATTCAACAGAAAACTCTCCTGATTCCAAAGGAATAAAATGACTATAATAACTTTTTTTTTTTTTAAATAAAATTAAACTTTACTAGAAATGGCTGGCTACAAAAAAGAAAACTTGGCTTTGGCAACCCTGAATTTAAAATCTCTTGATAAGTAAGGAATGACAACAGGCAGCACTTACAGGTTCAATACCTTCTTGACAGTTAAAACACCCTTTAAACATATAAAATTTTTATTGCATACTAATTGCATTTTCAGTTGAGCAATCTCTCCAGGGCAGTGTTGCCCTCCTAGCTCCTCTGATGTTACAAAGCGTTGAAAAATGCAGCTCAGTTCTTTCCTCCTGGGTTACATTTTTTTTCTCCTTAGAATCCTCTCCTTGTACCTATGGCAGATATGACCTTACTCTAGTCCCCATTGGCAATTTCTCTTTCCTCCTAACTCTTTATCCCTTTTAATTCAGCAAGCCTCGAGTTTTCTGATCTAGAGACCACTTGAGCAGGATGAACAATTCCATAAGCAATCTACCTCAAACATTTTCTTAATCATAACTGAAAGCCATGTCATCTTGATGAGACACCCCTTGTCACCACCCACCACTCCCTGCTCTTCCACGCAATGGATCTTCAGTTTGAGGTTTTTTGTTGTTTTTTTAGTAGCATAAGTACAATGTTAATTTAAAACAATTAGGCCCACTGCCATCAAATCGATTCTGACTCATGTTGTTGTTAAGTGCCATTGAGTGGGTTCTGACTCATAGTGATCCTGTACAGGGTTTCCGAGGAGCAGCTACTGGGTTTGAACTTTCATTTCACAGTCCAGTGTTTATCCTACAGTGCCGCACCAGAATTCTGACTCATAGCAACCTTACAAACAGGGTCTTGGAGACTATAAATCTTTCTCCCACAGAACAGCTGGTGGGTTTGAACCGCCGACCTTGTGGTTAGCAGCCCAACAGTTAAGCCATAGTGCCATCAAGGGTCCTAAAGCAAATATCAAACAAAAACCCACTGCCATTGAGTCAATTCCAATTTATAGCTACCCTCTCTGTACAACTTTTCCAAGACTGTAAATATTTACAGGAGCAGACACCCTCACATTTCTCCCTTGGAACAGCTGGTGGATTTGAACTGTCAACCTTGTGTTTAGTGATCCAGTGCTTATCTTACAGCACCATACTAAGACTCCAAAACAAATATAGTACATACAAAATATAAACATAAATGTATTAAAGGTCAATCATAATTAGTTAACTGTTAAATTAGATGTGGAAGATTTGTCTCCCTTTGATTGGGCGATGCCCTATTTGGGCAAAAACTGTGCCTTTGTCTTAAGCACTGCTAGGTCTTGCACACAGAAGGTGCTCAATAAATGCTTGTCGAGTGAGTGGATTCATGCAGACAACCCCAGGAATATTGCTAGATTCAAGAACTTCATCATTATTATTTTTTTAATGTTTTATTGTGAAATAGGTGATAGTTTACATGGAAGAACATTTGCTTTACATTCATCCTATCATATTGACTATCATATTACATTGCCATGGTTACAATCCCCTCCATGCATCTCTCCACATCATCATCTCCACCTCCATCTCTGGCGTCACTGTTTCTCTAGGCAGGATCCCGCACTCTGCTCTTCTCCCTTGATGGTCCCAGGGACCTCTGCTCCTGGCCTGCAAAGCCAACCACTCCCCTCCTTTTGCTACAAAATGTCTACCTTTACATTTCCAATCCTCACAGTCATTATTTGTCATCATAATACCTTTTGCATGGAATTGTTGTTGTTGTTTAGTGCTGTTGAGTTGATTCCGACTCATAGCGACCCTGTATAGTTTCCGAGGAGCTGCTGGTGAGCTTGAACCAGCGACCTTGCAGTTCAAAAGGCTTTGCAGTCTGGTGCATTAACCCACAGCGCCACACCAGAACTCAGATCTCTTATTTTTCTTACCTAGAATCCTTTCAATCCTATAAGATAAATAATGGGCTGCTAACTGCGCTAACAGCAAGGCACTCTCAGAAACCCTATACAAAGTCACTATGAATTAGAACTGACTCAATGGCACAGAACAGCATCAACTGGTCTACCCAATTCATCCATATCTTTCAAAGCTCTATAAAGCCCAACTTCTTCCAGGAAATCCTTTTCTTTTCTACCACTCAAGTTCATGCTACCTACTTGCTTTGTGATATTTTATTAATCAGATTACAGTAAGAAGCATACAGCATTGCCCCTAGTTTTTCTGTTTTAGTTCTACTTTCTCAACATCTGTAAGGGGCACTTGTTCTTCTTTTCTGTTCACAACTTGCTGACCATAAGTGACACAGAAGGACTCAGTTAGTCTCTGTTTTGATTGACCAACTAGCTGACTGATCTATAAAGGTTTTTATTTTCACACACTGCTAATGCCAGTGATTGTGAATTTACAGTCATATATCTTTAGGCAACTTTTACTAAAAGCATAAAAAAGACACAAATTACAGCATATAGGCAAAGGGTGAGTGTCAGGATCGGGAATCGAGGAATAAAATGCCACATCAAAGTGGGGAGGAAACTAGAGCAAGACTGAAGAAAATCGATGGTGGTTGTGCGCCGTGGAGTTAGTTCCGACTCATACTGACTCTATATAGGGGTTTCGAGGCTGTAAATCTTTATGGGAACAAAAACCTTCCTCTTTTTCCCATGGAGTGACTGGTAGATTTGAACTTCTGAACTTGTGATTAGCAACCCAGGTCATAATCCAGGACTCTAGCAGGGCATTACTAGATAAGGCACTGCAACCCAACAAAGGGCAGGAAATCCCACAAGAATAGTCATTTCAATGGATTGTTTTGAAGGTTCCCCTTTAGTCTATATACAATTTGGGAGAAAACATGGGAGGAGAGTAAGTGCTTTTTCTTAATTTTCCCTCTTTTTGATCAATTCCTTAAAAAATAATGTCGGTGCACTGATTCTATGCCCTCGATCATATCCCCTTTGGAATATGGAGTTTGGTATCGTTAATGACTTGTATTCTGCTGGGGTTTATGGAAAGAACTCATGTAGCATCAGCACTGGAATGGACTTTAGGGATTATTTCACATATATACACATACACATTACAGAAGAGAAAACTAAGGCTCAGTGATCTAAAGACATTTGCCAAAGTGGGAAAAGAAAGCGGTCAAGAGCACGGATTCTGAATTCTTACTGTCAGGGCATAATCACAATTCCTCATCATTGGGGCAATTTACCTGTTTTTACCTCATCTATCCAGGCAAATAGTTAATACAGTCTACTTGTGTTATTGTTGTTAAGAGTATTAAATGAGATAGTGTATGGGAGGCACAGATCTGTGAGGACTAGATGCACTCATCACATTAGGCATCATCACCAAGTCACATGACTGGCGGTAACCTTCCCAGGACTGGAACAGAGACCTCCCAGCTCAGTCTCTCTCCTCAATGCCTGTCAAGCTGGTGGTTCTGTCCAAATACAGGAATGGTGATAAGGGGTGGTTGCCCCTCTCACATCACCGCTTCAAAGAACGACACCGACTCCTGGGCTATGTTGCCCTCAAGTGGACTGGATAATTGAGGCTTCCATGAGTTTGACCTCTGCCCCTGAACTGTGAAAAAGGAAAGCGTTGCACTTGAGAAAGCAGGACACCCTCATTCTCCCTCCAGATGGATGAGGACAAGCGCCTTCCAGATTCACAGAGATCTATACAGTGCAGAGTGGCGTGCCCATACCTCTCCTCTGAGAACAAAAGGCTGGCAAGACCAGACACCTTGCCGGGTCAGCTGGCACTCCAAAACCTCTCCAGCTCCCACAGGGGGGAGGGGTTCCGCACTGTCCTTCGAGAAGGACAAGAAAGATCCCGCTTGTGAGTCAGGATATAAAGAAGTAGCCAGATAAATGAAGACTGTATCATCAAGTGCTCAGAGAAGAGATAAGAAAAGCTGCCTCCAGAGAAGCCTCACTGCCAGGTTCCCAGAGCACTCTGACACATCCCCTTGACATGTCTGTGACCAAATTCCCTTCACGAAATGACAGCTCTCACCTTCCAGTGCTTTCTGCTCTTGGTGAAATCCACGTGGGAATGTTGAAGTCAACAAGTAAGTCCCACCTTTCGATGCTAACTAACTTCCTTGCAATCTCCTGGCTGCTTCCTGCTCCTGAGGAGGTCTCTGAATGCTTAAAGTCCCATCAAGACTATACTTAAGACAAAACCCAAACTCTTCATCATGACTGTGTGATCCAGCCCCTGTGCATCTGCCTAACTCACCTCATGTCTCTCCTCACCTGACTCAGTATGTTCCAGTCACACCTGCCAGGTGTGCCCACATCCTCCTCACCTCAGGGCCCTGACCCAGCTGCCCTCTGCCCACAATGCCCCTCCTCAGAGCTCTCCAGGACTGGTCTCTCATCACACAACTCAGCTCAGGTAAGACTTCCTATCTATTCTCAATGGTCCTTCATAGTCCCTAACTATCCTTTTATTTTTCTCATAGTATTTAGAACACTCTGGAATTATCTTGCTTAGTAACTTGCCTAGTTTACTGACTGACATCATAGAACGTGAGTCCCAGAAGGACAAGTTTAAGTTTGTTTCTGTACACCTTTGTATATCCATCATGCCTAATGCACAGACAGTATTCAATAAATATTGTTTAACTAAATAAAATGCAAATATACAGATATCATGTCAAATGGTTCATTTATCAAGCAAAGGACCTCTAAGATATGCAAACTTTAAAACAATCATCTGAACAAAATCCCCTCCTGGATGATGAAAAATGGACAGAGGTCAAGAGAGGCAAAGATAGTTGTCCCTGGTCACCCACCTAGTGAAGAACAGAGAAAGGTCTGGAATCCAGGACTCCTGACTCCTTGTCTCATGCTCTTTCAGTAAGGCTACACTCAACAGAATCCCCAGTCCTTGAACAATATCTCTCATTCATGTCCTTGCTGAGTTATTTATTTTGCAAGTATTTATTGAATGTTTTCTGTTTCAGGAACCGTGCTAACAACAGATTTGGAATTAAGAGTGCCTAGGAGATCTCTGTCTACAATCAAAAGGATCTCCCCATAGCAGCCACAGGATCCTCTTGATATTGTGCCCCTGATGCTCTCTAGATCTTTTGCAAATCCTCCACACTCCGTGACTGTTCTCCAAGATCCGAGAGTGGATGGGGGCGCCTGCTCTGTTCAAAGACAGAGATGGTAACAGTCAGAGAAACAGGGAGACCATATCAAAGGGTGTGGAACAAACTGGCTGAATTGCTACATGTCCACTGAGAATGTCTCACCCCATTTGGACTGGACTTGGCAGAGAGAAGTCATCACGGAGGCCTCTGCCAAACCCAATTCACACTGCCCAATGTGCCAGAGAAGACAAGAAGGGACAAGTTTAGCCTTTTTCCTTGGAAGGTCACAATCCTTAGCAGGGACCAGAAGCAGAAAGCCAGGACTCATTTTTGGTGGTCCTACCTCCACCACTCCCTCCCTCAAACCCACTGACAACCATGACTTGAAGACCTGG